TAAGTATGTACAGTATTATAGCTCCGTCCTTACTCTCCTCTGTATATATTGTAGAGCTAGTTAATGGTCCAGACACACCATTGCATGTAGTATATGCAGTGCCGCCGTCCTCTCCTCCAGGCGTCTGCTTCCCATGTACGGAGTACATACGGATTACTCCGTGCCTACTATTCTTCGATATACAAGCCTATACTCCACCGGCGTTGCAGGTTCCAAATAGATTGCCCACACCTGGTCGCGGATCCGGATCCCTCGTGAACTCGAAACGTTTCACCATGAACCTTCTAAAAATAAAGATCTCCTGAACCAACGGTCACAGCGCGCAACCAGCTGACGTTGGTTCGTTTCGCATCTCGCTTGTTTCGCCTCTGTTTCGGGCCCCTTTGCCACAATCTCTCCTGAGGCGGTTACTGCGACGGAGTCTCCCTGGTACCTGTTTCATCCTTTCATTGGTGGACAAAATCCTCTCCTGTTGACGCCAGTCTGGAGTCGAATCGTGTAAATGCATCCTTGCTCTGCGTTCACTGGCCAACGGGGATATGAGACAGTCGATAATCAACCCCGGAGCTCGCTAATGAATCGCGGTGTGTCATGTATACATACTTGACCACTAAGTACATACTATGACTGCTACAGAATACTAATTCTGCTACAATCAAGGAATCACATCACAATTCTGACCGAGGTTCAACCAGCCTATGCTTGGACACCAGATCCTCATCGGACTGGATATCGCTACTACAGCTACCATGGTACCCTTGAAAATCAACACCGGGGGTCTTTTTTTGATGATGCCATTTCAACCTTGAAAAGGGAAAGACATGATTCATGTCAGATCTGTCTGCTAAACTTGTTGAGTGTTCTTTCCATCATTCAATTTTTGGAAAGATATGAAACTACTGTTTATTTACGACCATTCATACTATATTAAGCCTGCTGTTCTAGTACCTTGATCCTTTGGTGCTAGTAGTACAATAGGGACACTGCCAGTGGTTGGTACGACTAGCAGCCATACTACTAGTATATCACACATTGGACAGACAATCTCAACCTCAGTACTCGTAACCTTTACCAAGACATATCATTGACACAAGCATCCCCAGACCCCATACCTCTAGCACTAAGACTGACACGGCACTGACACTCGCCACGTGGAAAACTAATCCACAGCAAATAAAACCCAAGACTAGATGTTACCCGACACTACCGGACAGTAGATGAAGATACTATCCACTGTATTCCAGACAGCGAACGAGTGACTGGTCGGCGGTGGCACCCTCGGCTCCGAATCCACGGTTTTGCTTTGCGAAACCGTGGTTCCCGCCCTCATTTGTTTGATGCTACAACTGACTTGAAACAACTTGAAGCTCAACAAAAAAAAAACCTTTAAAGTATTACCTCCGACATGTCTACTTCCGATCTCTCCGTACACTGGAACCATGTAATATGTACGCCGTAGACACCAGTGCGCGTTATGGAAAGTCACTCTCATAAATACAGCAGGGATATGAGCAGGTCGCCGACTCCAGTGTTTACCCATGCAGCTTGGCGCTCTAAATTGGTACGACATTCCACGCATTGCACCCTCCGTGTGATCGAGTTAGAGCAAGCCTCTGGAGCAGGTCGCTCGTGTTGGTGTATGCAGTTGGCGTATAGACGGCCCAGTGCATGAAAGACCCAACAGAGCCGGTTCCGGCCCACATCAAAATTCTCCCAGCCTCCTTTCTACCCCGATCCGCATTTATGATTTATTTATTTACTTATTTCTTTGCGCCTATCACAGACGACGTTGGGGTACGTGTCACGTATAACATTGTACATACTCTCTAGACTGTCTTTCTTTGTTTTTCGTACCCCATAGCCAGCACGCGCTACTGTCCATCGGGAGTTTTTCCGAGGGCCTCACGATGGCATACGTACCGTATTGTATTCCAAACCTATAATATACATTACCTGGCTCAGATTAAGGGTGGCAGATCACCAATAGCCTATATGTCTCGGTAGATACTATAGTTCTTTCAAATTTACAGCAAGGGAACTAGTATATCTCCGATATGTGCAAACATACGACATAATGCATCGTTTGAGTTTGAAAATTTGGAAATTGTTGATGCATTAATTATCTTGAGATTTTCGTGATCATTTCGGCATTACTCATGATGTTTCTTCTTCAGTCTCCAGTCCATGGGGGTCGATGGCAATCAAGGACCCAGGGGGGGCATATCCGTAAACCCTTGTCCACATGTTGCTGGCTTGATCGTATTCGTTCCACGAGTATTGCATAATAGGCTGCTCATCGCTTCTTTTCCACATGGCAATGTCTTTCTCCGTTGCTTCGGGAGGGTAGCCGTCTCGTGGCCGAAAAACACCATGCGGTCGAATACGTGCCCCCTGTGGAATTACCAGGCCTGGTATTCTGATGTCTACCTCCGATGGCGGAGGAGACGGACTTGCAGCAAGTGTCGAGTTGAGAATGCTGAGCTGGCCGCTGATTGTACTTGGAGCCATGCTCATCTCAATTGCTTGGCGTTCCTCCATCATCATGATTGTCTCGGCAAGAGCGGCCCCCTCGTCCCGTTTGTAAAGACCGTATAAACGGTGTGTTCGACGGAGTAGGGCTAAAGCTGTCCGCCGGACCGTCGGCTCGCGACATCTCAGACATGTGAACCAGAGTGGTAGACCAACACCCACTTCAAATGTGAATGGCGGCAGTGTGCCGTCCGGTCCTGCCAAGCTGTTCACCGCAACGGCACCTTGTTCCACTATGTTTTGAAAATTGTGGAAACAAGCATCTGTTGTAATTCGTGATGATGACACACATACTGTCAACATGACAGACAGCATCTCATAGTAGGTGAGGAGAAGGGCGCCGGTTCCAATCTCCGACGCTGATAAGCCGGGCTCCATAAATTTTGTAAAAGCAAGATGCCAACTCTTGAGTTTGGCTGATAGGACTCGTTGCCGATGCATCATCTCTTCTGATATATGCCAGGCGTGGGACCTTTTGAGATAGTCTTCACATCTGCTTTCGAAGAGTGGGATTTCTGTAGCTAGGACGACAATGGCATCACGAGCAGACTTCAAAGAGGTAAGTTGTTGCTTCGTTGCAAACACATCCCCAGACTCATCTACTAACGTACTCGCCAAAGCCCAGACGCTGTGAAGAGAGACTGCCCCTAATCGGACGAAAAAGGGAATGATAGTCTCCCTGAGGAGAAAAAGTTTTGCTGGTGCCACGGTGCCACACTGGCTCTGGGCTCGCAAGGTATGGATCAGGTGTATACCCTGTCCATAGAGGCGCAACGCCTCCTCGACACCCCCCAGAAGGGTTTCTATACAGATAAATAGAACGCAAGTGATTAATCCAACAAAGGCGTCCGCGCCGCCTCTTTCGATACTTTCTCGAACAGTGGTTACCGCACGAGAATACCAATCCAATGCATCTTGGTGTTTTTGGCTGAGGAAATGGGGTTGGTTGCCGCGACGTAGAGATGTCAGATCGGGGCAGGGATCAGGACATTCAAATAATGAGCTGATGGAAATCATAGCATCCCATATAGCCGATTCACTGCGGCAGACCTGTGGAACAATGATGCGCCAGAATTCCACATCCAATCCACCACCGATGGACTCTGCGGCATGCTGGAAATAATAGGCAAAAGCACGACGCTCCCGCGATCCTTTATCTTGCGATAAGGAAAGTGAACTGTGCAATGGAAGGGCTGTAAATGTGGAAGAATATTTGATAGAGTTCCCATTTTGATAGTCGCATTTGCGACCTGTGCTCGTACATCGGAGACACTGAGGTTTTTTCTTCACCACACTTGACTCTTCGAATTCTGGAGAGAATGTTTAATAATGGTCCCGAGGTTATTACATGGGAATGCATGAGCTTACTTGCATGTCCTGCATCCAAGCTTTGATCTGAGAGGTTTGAACGAGACCTCCTTTAAGTGGGCTGACGGGCTTACTGACATGTTGCCGGCATAGCCTAGGCACTGAATGTGTGAGGGATGGTATGGGCTTGTGGGTAACGAGTCGACGCGATGCTAAACATGAGATAATGGGTAGGGTACCTTCAGATGAGGTCAATCCCTTGAATAAACCAAGACCACCCGCCTGTCGGTCTATCTCATCTCATCTGCCACGCTATGTAAGATGTAAGATACTGTTCGGATGAGATACCGGAAGATCAATATTCCCGAGCGACCCGGTTCTCCACCTAACTGGGCCTAGCGGGGCTTGGCATGATCTTTCGAGAAACAATCAAGATCAAGAAACTAGTGACTGACCATGACCATGACCACATTGTCAAATTCCCCAATACTGGGTCTAATTCTGGATTTCTGAGACCATCTGGATGGATCCTGAGCCTCCATTTTGTGGGCTTCTAGACCCCGCCCTAACTTTCGCTACCATGTTGACCAGCACACCTGCTCCACACCAACGACAACAACATTCAAACTGGACAGGTCAGATATTCTTAATCGGCCTCGTGCAGGATGTTCGATAGGTCGCCTGTCTAGTTTGCATCTGCAAGTCTGCACATCTGCACATCTGCGAACTTGCGACGAGGGGTGATCGTACATGCATAAATAGTGCCATCGGGGGGAGCGATGAAATCAGCGGTGACCCATGGAAACAGTCAAAAACATACAGAATGGTCCTTTTTGACTAGATTAGATGTAAAAAACTGGCGAGTTTATATGGAGTTCTGTATACTCATACCACTCATACTCTCCAGACTGAACTCATCAACTTTGCAGCCCCACTACTCCATCTACCTAGGTACTTAGGCCAGTTGTGAAACGCCCTCCTGACCCTTCCCGGCCTGATTGCACTGGGCCCCGATCCTCCTCCACTTTTACATTTACACACTAGCCTAGCTTCTTCCCTCCCCCCAGCCTCACAGCTTCCCGATTTCAAGTTCCTTACCTTTCTCCGCTCTCTCCTCCCAATGCCGTTGAGCCACTGTTACCTCATGTGAAAAAAAAGGCACCATGCCATCCAGCGTCGCTTACTCCGAAACAAGGACCCTGGCGAATGATCATAATGCTCGCGCCCTGAACGGCTCTTATCGACTGGGGCGGGAACCGTTGGAAATGCCCTCGCGGCCTGACGAAGCCCGCAAAAATGAAGATATCTTCTTGAACATTGCTAGAACAGACTCAGACCGTCGCGATTCATTGGGTCGCTCGGATTTTCGTCGAGTAAGTTTCTCTCCCCTTACATCTGAGCTCTGGTTCGCGTTGCTGTTGCTGTTGCTGGTCGTTGCATCGATCCAACCCCATTCGCTCGGGACTAGGTGACCATGAAGCTCACAAAATGCCTACTAGTCACGACTTGGTTATTCAAGCCAATCTCTCCGGTCACCAACCACGCGGTTTGACACCGAACAAACCCCCTCTCCCGATCAGCGCCTCAGCAATGCGGAGAGCCCCTTGCTTGCGCAGAATGAATCCCCAACGCTCGCCTACAGCTCTCTCCACACGCCAGCAGCCTCCTCTCATCCTCTAGACGACCACAATCGCTTCCGCTATTCAAGTTTAGGATCTGGTGCCCGGTCAACCATTGGCGCGCCACGAAGCCGACTCAGTCGCACCAGTCCAGAGGCCTCTCCTCATTCGGCCTCAGTCAGCGGGGAGCGCCGTTCTTCCTTCCATGAACCGCGTCTACAACGCAATTCAACCCTTTCAACAGTACGAAGCAGCCGGCAGCCATCGACCTCCGAGGCGACGGAGAGAATTCGCGGCGAGGCTGAAAAATCGCGCGCGGATGGTACAGAGTCAACATTATCTACAAATGCGCCTTCTACCGTTTGGGATGAACTTGATGATTTAAAGTCTCGGATTCGCAAGCTGGAGCTCACTGGGAAACTTCCGCCATCGTCGCAAGCCGCGATCTCGGGGACATCGAACGAAAGACCCCGAACCGCCGCCACGACCATGACTGCAATCTCAACTTCTCCCAGACACCACCGTAAAGCCAGTACATCCGCTGCAGACGCTGAAAGTGTTGTCCATGATCAGGTGCATCCCCTATTGCAATCCGCATTGGCCAAGGCCAAGGTGGTACTAAGCAGTGACGTGTATTCCGCACTAGATGCGACGATCACTGATGCATTGAAGCTCTCAACTTTGTTGGGCGCCAATACAACCCCGTCAGGCACTGTGTCTGTGGTAAATGGAGGATATACTTCGTCAGAAAGACAAGCCCGACGTAAAGCCGACAGCGTGTGTCGTAGCCTGACAGAGCTGTGTTTGGCGTTGACGGATGAGCAACTCAAGAAAACTCGACCATCCTCCAGTCACGCCAGCACTGTGCAGCCTCAACGATCTAATGGCGGGGAGAACGAATCGCTTGCCCCGGGCTCCTCCTACCAGCGAACGATCAATCACGAACCCGAAAATGTCGAGCGGCGACAAAGTACTAGCCGCATCTCTAGTCGTCTCGAAGCGCGAAGAGCATCTCTCATCAACCACAGCCCTAGTAATCCTACTGAAGCCAAATCTCCCCAATCACCCAGCGTCGCTCCTCCGCCTAGTCGCCTTCACCGCGCTTCCACTACTCTTCGGAACCGCAGGTTAACCTTCGACGACGAAAATGGAGAAATTTCTAGCCCGCATAGTCGCTCACTTTCCCGAGCTGCGACCGAGATCGGCACACCCAGCCCAGCTCAGAATGTGTCTCCGCGCCAGCGATTTTCTTATAGCCACTCGCGGTCCGTCTCGAACGCTCCCCAGGACCAGGGCCTGGGATATCTCCTCGGTCCACACAATTTCAGGCACCGGCGCTTTCTCAGGCCCCTCCAACGCCTCAGGCGTTTACCCCACAGCCACGAACGCCTACTGTCTCATCACAGACCGGGATACCAGCTCGTCGTAGCTATATGACACCCGGCGTTTATTCCCCCGCTGCACCCCGCTCCAATATCCAAGCCGGATCGCGCCGGTACGGCCTTTCTACAAGCTTCTCAAATGCCACGCCGCGCTCCGGGGCCGAAGAAAGCCCCCGCTCGCCCCAGGTAGAGTCCCCGAAAACTCGAATCGGCATCCCATCGAGTAAAACGGCGACCAGTTATACACCTATTCAACAGCCTCGACTCCGTACCAACAGTTTAGGGGCGCGGAGATTTGGTCTCAGAACCCGCTCTTCTACTGCACCTGATGAATCTGCCAACATCGATGACAGTATCGACTAAATTTATGCCTCTCGCACACTCTGTTGACGCGCCATTATGCATGCCTACCGACCACTTAAATTCGGTTACGCCTCCTTCTTACTCACTTAACGTAGCGCCACAGCATCTGACCATGTTTCACCTCGAATATTTCGACACAACACACTTGGCGTTTTTATTTTTTTCCCCCTTAGACGCTTTCGTTTGCATTGCGTGCGCATACTGAATGGATCCGGAGTCTTTCGTCGCATTGTCCAAAACAAACAACTCTTTGACACCATTCGACATTGGTGCATCATGACAAATTCACTATCGGCTTCTTTCATCCGAAATGTCTCAAAATGAGTTACGATATGCCACTCACCCGACAGAGACGAACCCCAAAGTCCCTTTGTATCGACATTATCTCTTATTTTCACACTCTGTTTCATCTTGTTCAAATTATTTCCCTCCTGGGACGGGACTCCTGCCGAATCATTGGTCTCCAGCACCATTGGATACATGTACAAAACCGACCATATCGCCCGGCGTTCATGTTCAATACTTCTTTTTCTTCTTGTACATTTCACACTTTTCTCTTTTTTATTTTAGCCACATCATTTTGTGGAACGATTTTCTCTTACGAATGAATGAGAGTTTTTATTTCCACTACTGCTCGTCAAACTAAACTCCCTCAAAGAAACGATATAGATCACCCTGATCTTTGAAATGCTTCTTCCAGTAAGGCTGCTTCCTGTGCCCGGTGCTCTTTACCAAACCCCGTGGCGACACTGGGCGTTGCCCCACGACCTGCAAAACGCAGGCGACGACCCTTGTGCTGGCCCGTGGTATCAAAAATCGTTTCTAGACGAGTCTTTGCAAAAGACCACGGTCCGTCGTTCAAAGACTCCTCTTGGCACCAGACAATATCAGAGGCGTTTGAATACTGAATGAGATTATCCCTCGCTTGCTCCCAAGGGAAAGGATGTAGCTGCTCAATGCGGGTAATCGCCGTGTCTGTTATCCCATGCGCATCGCGGTAGCTTGCCAGCGCGAAATAAACTTGCCCAGAACAGTAGATGACTCTTTTGATTTCCGAGGGTATGGCGATTGCAGTGCCATGTGCCGGGTCAGCAATCAGAGGTTGGAACTGAGAGTCTCCTGTGAATTCCTCGATGTGAGACTTCGCTGAGGGATGGCGTAGCAGAGACTTCGAGAAAAATAGAATAAGGGCTGGATTTTGTGTGAATGAATTAGCTGAGAGGGAACTGTAGTATTTTCATTCCAGTTAAGACTTACGCTTCCTGAAATCTCTGTGCAACTGTCGTCTCAACACATGGAAAATGTTGGCCGGGGTAGTCATTTGAACCACTTGCATGTTGGCGTCTTGATGCTGTCTCTCAATCTGTTTCTCTGTCGGAAAGAAGCGGCCATCCTCGCTGCATAACTGCAGAAAACGCTCCATTCGGGCCGAAGAATGCTCTGGTCCCTGTCCATCAAACCCATGAGGCAGAGATAAAACAAGCCCAGAGCGCAGGAGCCATTTATTCTCTGCGGATGAGATGAATTGGTCGATGATACATTGTGCGTTGTTTGCAAAGTCGCCAAATTGTGCCTCCCACATCACCAAGCTATTCGGGTACATGCAAGAATAACCGTAATCGAACCCCATTACGCCATATTCGCTCAGTGAAGAGTTCCCAATAGTGAATTCGCCTTGACCCGGGCTGAGATTGTTCAGTGGTAAATAGGCTCCTCCGTCTTTTTGATCATGAAGCACGGCATGGCGTTGTGAGAAAGTACCGCGCTCAACGTCTTGGCCGGAGACACGAACATGATGCCCTTCGAGGCATAAACTCCCCATTGCCAGAGCCTCAGCCGTGGCCCAATCAATATCCCGACCATCTGCTAGGCTCTGCTGGCGCTTTTGAAGAATTCGTCTCAAGCTTTTGTGTAGTTGGAATGGCTCTGCAGGAACGCCGAGCTTGCTTGCGATCGTTCCAACCATATCGTGGTCAATAGAAGTTGCCTTTGCTGCAAAGCTCTCCCGCGTGACCTCTTCTGGTGTCTTCATATCCCGCCATGGGGCAGTGAGATACTCACGCTCAAGTGCCTCGGGACTTGTGCTATTTTCAAGACTCCTAGCCATCTCCTCCCAAACCCTGACCTCCATCTGTTTGACTTCATCCACTGTGACCACTCCTTCCTGTGCCAGTTTCTTTGTGTATGATTCAAGGTGAGGAGTCTTCTTCTCGATCTGCTCGTACATCATCGGTTGAGTAAAGAACGGCTGATCCATTTCATTGTGACCATGCTTTCTGTAGCAGATCATGTCAACCCAGCAATCTTTGCCAAATCTTGCGCGATAATCCGCAGCCATCTTGCAAACAAAAACCACGGCCTCGGCATCATCCGCATTAACGTGAAATATGGGGGCGGCAATGCTCTTTGCTATATCTGACGCATAGGGCGAGGTTCGCGAAGAGTCGGCGTCCGTGGTGAATCCGATTTGGTTGTTGATAATCAAGTGCACAGTACCACCCGTTTCGTAGAATTTCAACCCAGAGAGCCCCAAGGTTTCGTAGATGACTCCCTGACCAGAGAAAGAGGCATCCGTGTGACTGTTCAAAACCATTGTAGACGCTCGATCCCCGTGATTCTGGTGCTGGACAGCTCGCGCCATGCCTTGGCCAAGTGTATTCTGGGCTTCCAGGTGAGATGGGTTTGGCAATATCAAAACATTCACATCTTTTCCACTGGGAGTTTTTCGATCATGGCTAATTCCAAGGTGGTATTTGACGTCACCTGAGATATTCTGACGAGATTCTGAATCGGAAGAAAATTCACTGAAGATCAGCTCGTTTGGCTTTCGACCTACATTGCTGAGCACATTCAACTTGCCACGGTGACAGCAAGGGAAGATAATATTCTTGACACCATTTTCTGCGCTTGCATCGATAATCGCTTTTAAAGCCGGGATCTGAGTCTCGACACCTTCAATACTGAATCGCTTAGCATTGGGGAACTTGGCGGACATGAATTTCTCGAAATTGGTTGTCCAAACAAGACGATCAAGGATTCGCTTTTTCTCTTCTGGGGTGAACCGGTAAGGCTCGGGGACTTCTAGTCGCTCACGAATCCATTGACGTTCCTCGATAGTTTCAACGTGACTACACTCAGCACCAATCGATCCGCAGTATAAACTCTCGCAAGTTTTGATAATCTCTCGGAGGGTCATTGTTCGAGTGCCAGCTGAGACGAAGTATGGTAGCACTTCAGGACCGAGAACAACTTCATGATCCATATCAGACTCGGTGAATCCATAAAATTCTAGTTTGAGTTCCTCTGGATACACGAATCTCTTCTCGGGGAGATTAAGTGGATTTGTTTTGGCCTTCTTGTGACCAAAATCTTGATAGGCGCGGACTAAGCGCACGGTCTTGGAATAATGATCGAGCGTAGTAGATGAAGCTGGAAACTCCTTGCCGACACCCTTGTTGTTTGTATTCAAGAACAATTGAGACTTTTCAAGCGGCTCAAACGTAGGCTCCGAGGTTGGGAGGCCATTTTCGACGGCATTGAAATATTCTCGCCAGGAAGAATGGACAGAAGCTGGATCTTGACGCCAAGCAGTATATATGTGGTCCAGATAATCCGATGAGCTTGCCATAGAAGCAGCAGAGTAGTATTGCTAGATATGTCTGGGTTAGCATTCGGGTATGGCAATGGGATTAGTCCATGGTAACTTACTCGTTGAGGCTGGAGGCCTCGCATATATTGGCTTCGGGATGCCACTAGGTTGTACCTTGCATTTTGGGTAATAGCTTTAGCACCAAGTCTCTCCGGACATCGTAGGAGTAAAGTTTTTGACGAAAGCATTCTTGCGGATGTGACAATACTATATTGCCCGACGCTATCTTCAAATACCCCTCTTGGTAGATTAGACCTCCAACAAGACCGGATCTTCAGATGGTGGCTCAACTTAACCGAAATTTAACATTAAATACTGATTCTGTGGATTTTTTTTCTTTTTATTGAGCTTTGAGTGATTATCGGTGAATTTTAGAATATCCATATAACCGTGAAGTAGCCGATGCGGGGAGAGTGTCGGGCCCCCCATCCGACGTTCGGCATCGCGAAATGATGCCGATGATTGTCGGTTGTGGCTTGTAACCTCCCATGAATCACTAAATGCCTATTTCTTCGATAACATTTGCGTGCGCTGGGCTGAAAATGACAATTCTCTTCACTTGGTTTGCGTCTACAGAACTACGGTGCTAAAGTAAGATTTATTACTCACAGACTGGTGTGCAAAATCGGTCTTTAGCTAGCTAGGTTACATTAGATCAATAAAGAGTGTGGGTGGCTTCTCTAGAGAAAAGTAAAAAGGGCGGTCCATTTAACAGCCCTCAAAAATATTAAGATTTTGTCAATTTTTAAGAAAATATTAGACCCTAATACAAGCCTCAGCTCTAGGAAGTAAAAATCTGGGAATAATTAGAGTAAAAAGTCTTAGTTTTAAGGCTGGCCTGCCTCAGGCATACAGGATGTCCTCGATAGCTTTGCTTGGCTTCTTCTTCACCACCGCCACCACCATCTATCCACTACACCTTTCGTGCATCCACATGTACAAGCCCCAACAGATTATGGCTTGTGTGATTCTCCTTTCTCTCTCTTTTGAAATCCCCTGATACTCTGAGGGTGTTCAAGATACACCAAAAACCACCGAAAAAGATATCTCGCTTGTAAACTATCTTGATATTGTTTTTAAATTTTTGGGGTCCTTACAAACGTTCTTTTCTGTTCAATTGGCTCAGAGATTCCAAGATTTGAGTGAAGCTGGGGGTTATACCCAAGTGTGACGTCGCTCGAGTTGGTCGTTTCCAGCGGATCGTAGTTGTATACTGAGCTAGTCAAATTTGATAATCCGCTAGCCTGATAAGGATTCTATATTCATATATTAAAACATAATTCCGAAGTTTACGGCTGACCTTGGAAGTCAAGTGATGATGCCATGATAAGCATTGGCATGAGCACCTTAAAGAATCGAGAGGAATTACGAGTATTGCGGCGGGCACTAAAAATATAACCATCCGTCTATCTCCAACCAACCTTGTTGAAAGGCGCAGAATTTCATAAACGGTCAACCTGCAACATTGGAAGCAAGTTGCCTCAAGGAGCAAGTCCATTTATACCTGATTACGAACTGACGAACTATTGGGGCGTGAACGGTTGAATTTATCGGAGATCAAACCCTCGGATTTACCGGCCTCAGCCATGAATCAAACTATTCAAGTGGTTCCTGACTAGCCATACTCAGTAGATTCCATTCTTACCAATAGAATCGAGAGAACAACCGTTTAATCATCCACCTTTGCGAGGTTGACGACGCCTCTAACTACGATAGGAAGTTATGTGGCTGATTAGTCATGATAGAAAGAGCTAAAAGGAGCTAAAAGGAGCTAAATTAGGAACTTACGTCCGCAAGGTGGATCTTTTCTAGAGACCTTTGAAAAATTGCCAATGGGATGCTTCGGATGGATCATAAGTATTTATTGCTGTGGGTATCTGCCCACCGGAAGAAAGTCTTAGCTGTCGAAATTTGGTCGGCTCTTGAGTTCAAAACAGCACAAAAGAAGAATCAATAGCCCAATCTATAGACTTAGTTAAGCCATTGCTGAAACGGCCACGGAACGTACAAGGGGTTAGTTAACGAGCTATGTCTTCGTTATCTCTAGGAGGGGATCGTTTCAAGCAGTCTCAATTCCGGCTGATGCCTGGAGAGAGCCCAAGGGGGCTTGTATGAAGCATTTGATTTCCGATTGCGGTTAGTTTTTAGTCTCGCCTATTGGCCTCTTTTCTTGATTTCCCCAAGAGCTAGTATCGGGGGTCTAAGATTACCCCAGTGACTGGGCCCCTGAAAAATCGACGACCGGGAGAAATCTGTCAATTCCTCCTCCTCTTTCTTCCTCTTCGTTGAACGAAGTATTTGGTCTTCGATGCACTGAGATAGCAGAGGCCACAAGGTACAGGGAATCTCGCCGTGCTGGGCTCAACGCCAATCTATACCCCGCCGTTTCAGCATGAAGCCATTCTCTTATCTCGTTGTCCTTACAATTGCGGCATTTCAAACCCTTTGCGTCCTTGCCGAAGACCAGACATCATGTAACCCGCTCAAGAACACAACATGCGATGCCGATCCGGCTCTCGGTACCGAACATACGTGGTTGTTCAACTCGACTCTCGATGATGAACTTTGGGACATGGCGACTGGAACACTCGACTACACCGATGAAGGCGCCGATTTCAAGATCACAAAAGAGAACGGCTCTACCCTTCTACAGTCCAACTTTTATATCTTCTTCGGAGTTATGGAGGCTCATGTGAAAATGGCCAAAGGAGCGGGAATCATCAGCAGTGTCATCTTGCAATCAGATGACCTGGATGAGATAGATTGGGAATGGGTTGGCTACAATACAAGCCAGGTGCAGTCCGATTTCTTTGGAAAAGGAAATACTACGACAAGTGACCGCGGTGGCTACCACCCCGTTGCAAATGCCGATACGGAATTTCACAACTACACTTCCTACTGGGATAAAGACAGACTCGAATGGTGGATTGATGGCAAATTAATGCGGACGGTCAACTACTCAGAACCATTAACCGTCTACGGCAAAAATTATCCCCAAACGCCATGCAGAGTCAAAGTCAGCAATTGGCCGGTTGGAATCAAGTCACAATCTACCGGTAACATCGAATGGGGTGGCGGTTTGGTGGATTGGTCTGACCTACCTTTTACTATGACGGTACAAAAGATCCGAGTGCAAGACTTTCATTCAGGGAAGGAGTATAAGTATACCAACCAAAATGGGACTTACGAAAGCATCAAAACTGTTGAGTGAGTGATTCTAGACTAATATTCTTGCTCCCTTTCCTTCGCGAGCTTTCGATCATTAGCTAACGGCGATACTCTAGGGGTAACTCCACTGCAAAAGCTGAAATCAACAAGAAGCCCGCAGAAACTTTGTCTCAAAAATGGGATGACCTAGGGAACGGTGCCCATATTGGTGTTTATTGTGGTGCAGCAGCCGCAGGACTTATCATATTCGCCGCCTTTGGATGGTGGTGTCGACGCCAGCGCCAAAAAGGGCGCCTTCAGCGTGGATTGGACAATGGCCAAAGAAGTGAAGAATTGGACGAAATGAATAGCATGAAAAACAAATGGCGGTCAAGTCAATGGGGTCAGACGAGCTACCAGCAGGTGCGTTAACAGCTGGATCTTCCAATGTTGGGATTATCTCTTCCTCTTTGGTTCAGTTTCTTTCTTTCTCGGGATTTCTTCAAGCTCTTTTATGTACATATATCCGTGACACGGTTTCTATCTTCTACTAGTATTATACAACTTCAACAACTACCCTCTATGAGACGTTACGGCGGTTCAAGTTATTTGCATCCACCATGCACACATAATATACGACAAGACAGTGAATTGAAAAGCAAAAGCAGAAGGCTGGGCTCATATTCTGAGTACTAGTATTTGACAAAAGAACTCCCCATTTTGTTCCAGGAAACTCAGTAGTGTAGGAAATTTTCTACCTGACTGAACCCGGTATTTTTTTTTTTCCTGCGTTGATTTTCCGGTTTGAACTCTGCAGCCACACCACTTCAACCCCTTAGCATGGACCGTAGTTTCAACGCTCAAAGGTGGTATTTGAGGATATTGCGATCAGATAGCGAGGGCGATCGCTTTTCGGATAGAGATAGACTGTTTAATGTAGGACGCATTCGCGAGGACGTTGATAGAGGATAACGGCGAAGATTTCTCTCACTGCTTCACAGCATACGTATCACCAACAAAGAAGCAAGCCGAGCAGGATGCTCCTTTGTTCGAAGTGAACGCACGATATAACAAGCCCAATGACTGCCACAGTGATAGAGGTGGTGATATGCCGAACTCCGAGTCGTTCGTCATACCCAGAGATCATGTCAGGACCTCAGAGAGAACATAAAGAGAACAAATGAGCACCGAGGTCAATATGCTGTCAAACCCTAAGCTTCCTATTACCGTGGAAAAGAAATTATTAATCCGCAAGCACTGAGATGCATGTTCTGCATGAAGGCTAAGAGAAACCGACGCGGATCGCGACTAGAAGTTGAAGGAATAAAAAAAAAAGTAACATAAATCGAACAAACTCGCTTACACATGACCGCCGCTGATCATGACCGACAGTCTCCGAAGTCGTAAGGTTTAAGCAAAACATAAAGGGAACCTGTCCCTCTTAAGACTCCCTGCCATTGTATAGCAAAGTGCTTACTCCTGGGGCAGCTGGCTGCGGCGAGTCTTCTCGGCCTCGAGGTTTTCGTAAAGGAGGTATAGGGCCTTCTCATTAGCCTGGGCACTTCCCATGATCGTAAACATGCGCTCGCCGGTCTCATCATGCGGAGCCTTCGCGATCGAAATGCGAGCGCCGGAGCTCCGGCGGATCTCGGTGATCTTGGTACCACCACGGCCGATGATACAGCCAACCATGTCCGCAGGAATGCTGATGTTTTGGGTTTGGATTTCTTCGCCATCTTCGGTCACCAGGGGGTATCCACGAGTGCCTGCATCCGAGCTAGGCCGACGGTTATAGCCACTGTTGTCGCTGAAGTCGGCACCGTTACCGGTGCGGTTGTACTGACGGCTGGTGTAACCATTGCCACCAGTCGGGCTGGTGCTTTGAGCGGGCTGCTGACCGAGGGAGGCGCGGACAGCGGGGTTATAGAGAACAGTG